GTTGATCCAAGAAGAATGAAGTCCTTGACAACTTCAGTCTTATCTCCGGTGATAAGAATATTATTTATTGGTCCAATGGTGAGGATTTTTGTTTTCTTTACATTGAGATGCAATGCATACTGAAGGCTGTGGTCTCTGACCTTCATCAGTAAATACTTTAAGTCCTCTTCACTTTCAGTAAGCAAGGTTGTATTATCTGCATACTGCAAGGTGTTAATGAATCTTCCTCCAATTCTGATGCCACGTTTTTCTTCATATAATTCAGCTTCTTGGATTATTTGCTCAGCATACAGGTTGAATAAGTATGGTCAAAGAATACAACCCTGTTGCACACCTTTCTTAATTTTAAACCATTCAGTGTTTCGGTGCCTTAAAAAAAAAAAAAAAGAATATTTTTGTGCCATGGGAGCAAAAAATACTCAATTTTGAGATCAGGGTTAATATCCAATTTTTAACAAAACTCAAGAGGGCATCTTCCAAAACACTGAAGTTTTGCAACGGTTTTAGATGGATCAAGCAGTTTAAGGAAGGAACTCAAAGATGAATCAAGAGAGGGAAGGCTGTCAACTTTGATGAAAATGGTTGAAACCCTGAAACTGATGAAGACAGGCCACAGAATTAACACTGATGTAATAGTTACTGAAGTTGTGGTCTCACCACATGGTTTGGTATTTTCAATTTTAAGAGAACATCTTGGCCTTGGCCAACTTTCAGCTAGGTGGATATCAAAAGATCTGTACAAAGATCAGCTAGCTCAAAGAGCTAATCTTCCAGTCATTTAAGCAAGATTGAACCGAATGAAGATGATGTATGGAAGGAATCATAACTAGGGATGAGTATTGGATTTACCAATATGATCCAGAAAGCAAGATCCCATCAAAGCAGTGGCTTCCGAAGGGGACCCCTGGGCCAATTACATTTATGCAGAGAGGTCAGCATAGAAGGTATGGTGACTGTCTATTGAGATTCCAAAGATGTAACCCTGGTAGATTTTCTTGAAGGACACAGACATCATTAGGGGCTCATTAGTAAGAAGTGACAAGGAAACTGCATTGGTGAGAAAAAAACAAGGAAAGTTGCATTAAGTATGGTTAGAAGTCCACTGCTTATCCTACAGTGCCAGAGAGATGGAAACACCACCTTCAGAAACGTACAGACCTTGATGGAGGACAATGTCCAAAAACTATAGCTTCACATTTTGATATTTTTGCTTAATAAAGTTTGTATGATTTTTGTAGCAATATTTTTTTTCACTTAGTTGTATAATAGCAATTTAATTTGATCATTGCAGCAAGTGTTGATGAGGCAAAGGGATGGTAATATGCTAACTAGGGCCGGCTTGTATGATCCAGAATAGAACATCAAATAATTTACAATGAAAAACATGCCAAACAGTGCAAAATGCTTTTATTGGCTGGTTAGTTTAGTTCCTCCTCTGAACAAAAATCTACCAGAAAGCACAATTATAATCAGAAGATTAGTTCAGTGCAAAAGGATTCAGAGCTAAGTCAGGTAGCTGGAAGATTTACATCATGCTGGCCACCATGATGGTCATTCCCAGCTCTTCACCTGGAACAGGTACAGACGCATTATGAGGTCAGCTATTGGCTGGCCTGGTATGGCACTGCATGCAGGATAATGCACTGGGCCCCCAGGTCGCCAGTTCAAACCCACCTGCTGCTCCTCAGAAACCCTGTACAGGAACCAACTCGACAGCACTAAACAACAACCAACAAGGGCCGGCCAGCGCCCTCTCAGTCCAGTAAAAGCAGTGACAGCCTTTTGCTTTTTACAAAACCTTTTCTCTATTAGAAAGAGCCTATGACTGGAGACAAATGACTTCACCAGTCTTGGTGTTCCTTTCTAGGACTTTACCACTCTTGGTGTTCCTACAGCACCACAACCACCCATTTCTTGGAGTGCGCTACTTCTGCAATGGTGGGACTCACGCATCACAAAGGCTGATATTCGGAGTTTTACCAGAGTCACTCTCAGATGCCTGCCTGATAATCAAGTATCAGGAACAACCTCAAACATATACTTAACAACTGCCACAAATCAGGTCCTGGGGACAAGGGTTCTCCATAGTTCCTCATGGGGTTTACAGTCTCATGGGGAAAACAGACACTGAGCTAATGACCATCCAAGTAACTATAACATTTACATGTTGTCAAGTGGAAGCATCAGGCACTCTGGGTGTGAAGCAGATTCCTAATCTAGGAAATCAGGAGAAGCTTCCCTGAGGATAACTGTGCTTGAAGTGAAGGATGTCTGTTGTTGTTAGGTGCCATCAAGTCGTTACCGACTCATAGTGACCTTATGTCATGCACAGCAGAACGAAACACTGCCTGATCCTGGGCCAACCTCACTACTGTTGCCACACTTGAGTCCACTGATGCTGCCACTTGGACAATCCATATCGTTGGTGGTCTTCCTCTTTTTCTCTGACCCTCCACCTTACCAAACATGATATCCTTCTCCAGTGACTGGTCCCTCCTGACAATAAGTCCAAAGTATGAGAGACGAAGTTTGGCCATCCTGGCCTCCAAGGAGCACTCTGGCTGCACTTCTTCCAAAACAGATCTATTGGTTCTTTTGGCACTTTCAATATTCTCCTCTAACACCATAACTCAAAAGCATCAATTCTTCTACGGTCTTCTAAGGATGACTACATGCAGTTAAAACTAATGAGCTTCCCTAGAAAACTTTGCAGGAAAAGAACAGAGTGTGCAAAGACTTTGAAGCAGGGTGACCAGGCCCAGAAAGAACTGAGAGCCCAAAGCGTCTAAAACACAGAGAGTCCAGGCGGAAGGGCAGAGAGGCAGAAGTCAGGTTACAGATGGCCAGGATTTGGGGTTTCCACCATTTAATGGTTTTCAGCGGAGTCTGATATGCTCAGGTTTAGATTTTACAAAGATCAGCAGGGAAAATAAATTGGGAGAATCAATAATTAATATCACCTCCACTACGCGGTTTGCAATCATCTTTTGGAGTAGCGTAGTTTCTTTCATTCATCCATCTGATTTACTGAGCGCCTACTACCAGCCAAGAATAGTCCTAGGTCCCCACGGCCGGGAAGCACGCAGTCTGGAGTGGGGTGGGTCAGAGTGGCTCAAGCTGGAATGATGGCAGCAGAGGGGGGCGATGGAACGTGGCTTGGAAAGGAGCGCGCTTCCAATATTCAAGCCCGGACCTCGGTATTTCCACATTTGTAAAGTGGGAACCTACCTTGCAGGGCTGTTCTCAGAATCGACGCAAACTACGCACAGTGCTGGGCATGCAGTGGGCCCTCAGACAACCGTAGCAAGGTTCTGACTCCTAGAAGAGGTAGCACCAGGGTTGCCACTCGTGGGGCGAGTGCCAAGGGATAAATTCTGGAAAAACCTTCGTTGGATCGATGGGCAGTCGACGGGATCCGGCCTCTCAGCGAATCCCGACGTTTCCTGGGTACCCTAACCCCAGGGACTTCCAAATGTCCCTGACTCGACCCCACGTCACCACCCTCTGCTACAGGTGAGGCACCAGCACCGCGCGACTTCCTCCTCAGCCGCTACGGGGGCCTTAGTGAAGGTGCGCCGCTCCCAACGCATGCGCAGTCCACAGCACGCGGCGCGGCCCGCCCACCTAGGAGGCGGGGCCGTGGGGGCCTGGGCTCCGCCCCGGAGCGTCCGGCCCCGCCTCGGGCCCCGCCTCCAGGTCGACAGGGACCGCGGGGAGTAGAGACCTCAACGGCTGAACCAGACTAGAAGTGTCCGGGCGCTTTAAGGAGGGGCGTGCCGTGGGGCGGTGGCCCCAGGAGCAGTTGCTGCGGGGACTGGGCGGTGACGCGCCCGGAGGGCGGAAGTGAGAAAGTTATCGGCGTCCCGAGCGGAGTTGGCTGAGCAGTGCGCGCGGCGCGGCGATGGGGGGGTCGGGCAGTCGCCTGCCTAAGGAGCAGCTTGTCGAGTACCAGGTGCGCGGGACGCTGGCCCCCTGGGAGCTCGCGCGCGGCTCTGCCCCGGGAGCGGGGTCTCGCGTGGGGCTGCAGGGCAGGCGCGGCCTTGGAGCGCCCGCCTGACCCCTTCTCTGGCTTTGCCTTCCAGGACTTGACGTTCCTGACCAAGCAGGAGATCCTCCTGTAAGTGCTTCCCCCCACCCCTGCCTCCGACCTCCCGACCTTCTTAGAGATAGGCAAACTGAGTTCGGCAGCGGAGCCGGAACTGGCGCCTTCGAGTCCTAGCCTACCGTCCCGGGCAGTGCCTTCCTCCTGGCACGCCCATTCCTGTCCTGCTGGGCTCCCAGTTTTGCACCACGGGGCTGCCCCTCTCCGTACTTAGGAAATGTTGACTCTGAGCTATGCGCTTGACTTCCGAACTTCTGCCCCAGACCGCCAGGGGCGACTTGTTATGTGCCGTCGAGGGTTTCCAAGAAAGGAGTTTTGACCGGTAACCTAGTTCAAACTCCTTACCCTACAGCGCTACACCCACTGGCAAAACCTGGGTTGCCTGATTCCTTCCCCAACATTACCCGAATAATATAATCCTGGTTGGTTTGAACCGCAAAGTCAGCCGTTCAAGCTCGAGGGCACTAAACAACAGGAGCTTAGAAACTGTTAACGCATACAGGAGGCCTGGTGTAAGCCGGCCTACAAGGTCGGTGGTTCATGGTCACAAGACGCGCCTCAGAAATCCTGTACAGGGTCGCACTTAACAACAACGCTTACTGTGTGCCTGTTGCTGTGCTAAATAGTTGTCTATATTACCTAATTGCATTCTCACGAAGGAGGTACTGGAATATTGAAACCGGTTCAGAGAGGTTTGGTAACGTGGCCTAAAGCTATACTCAGGGGATCTGACCTCGGACTGGTACCCCGTTTTCTAGCCTTGTGTCAGCTTTAAACGTGGACCAGGACACTTGAGTGATAAAGGTTTCCTGGGTTTCCCTTAACGAAGATAATCTCAGTGGGAAAGAGGTGGGGAATGTGAAACAGGTCACAATAGCTGATAAACAGACAGACTTTAAGGAAGCAGAGATTATTAGGGTGAGAATGAAATTTCCATTCTGTTCTTTACCGGTGTTCCTCAGGGCTCCTTCCCCCAACTTCTCCATATACCTGCCTCCTCTGAAGATCTCTTGAAACAGTCCCAAGCACAGTACCTTGCACGCAGCAGGCTCTGAGTAAATTCTCCATAAATACTGTGAGAATGCTTCCAGCCTGTACATTTTGTGATATATAGGCAGTCCCCAGATTACAAATGAGTTCTTTTCCCAAATTTGTCTAAGTCAAATTTGTGCATAAATTGGAACAGGAGCATTTTGGTATACAGTTTGTATCTAATAACAGCCAATGTTGGAAACACTTCCAGATACACTAAAACATCTTTACCATAATAATACAGTAATAATGTTTTGATGCAGGTGAAAAAGTAGTACCCATTTATTATTACAAAATATTGTGTGTACCTTAAAATGTTAATAGGCCTTGGTGCAGGGGTTGGTTTGTATCTGAGGGTTGTACATAAATAAGTCTGATATTCATAACCTGTGATGTGATTTAACCCCTGAAAGTCATTAGGCAACCATCAGCCTGAGAAAGCCTGTATCTCTTTCTGGGTTCTGGTTGCCTGATGACTTTAGGAGTCTTATGTATGTACAATAGGGCCCTTGGTTTATAATAAATAGTAACTGTAAGGTATGGGAATGAAATACATGCAGGATGGCTGTGATTGGTTGAGCCCTTGAATTCCCTTTTCTCTGGCAGAGCCCACAAGCGGTTTTGTGAGCTGCTTCCCCAGGATCATCCTAGTGTGGACGACTCAATGCGGGCACGAGTGCCCTTCCAACAGATCCTCAGCCTTCCAGAACTCAAGGTGCCAGTCCCCTATCCCTCCGTACAAACATCTCCTCTGCTAGACTCCCTCTTTCCTGTGACAGCCCTTGAGATCGTGAAGTTACTGGACCCTATATTCTAGTTCATTCTCCATTGAGCCTTACTTTCCTGGGGAGATCCCCAGGGAAATTATCTAGCGGTGTTTCTCACATTGAGGGTCTGAGACATATTCTCAGTGGTTCAAAGACATTTTGTCCTTAAAAAGGAGTCACATTATTTGAGGGGCCCATTTCCAGAGACTGATTGTCATTCTATATGACTGCTGTGAAAATTACTATGCAGTGGGCCTAGCTCAGTGCCTGTGTAATACAATTGTTAAATGCCATGGAGTTGGTTCTGATTCATAGCAAACCTGTATAGGGTTTCCGAGGCTTTAAATCTTCATGGGAGCAGAAAACCTCATCTTTCTCCTGGGGAGCTGCTGGCGGGTTCGAACCTTGGTCCTTGTGGTTTGCAATCCAGTGCTTATCCTATGAAGCCACTGCACCTCCCCCCCCCTCACCAACAATAGGTGTTCAATTAAATGTTTGTCTTTTCAAATAACCAGCCCATTTTGTTCCCTTTGTTGAGTTGGCCTTCCTGTGTCCCCTTAGCCTTTCAAGAGGTGGTCATGCTCCCCCATAAGCCAGCTCTGTGAGGCGAGTACTGTAACCTGCTCTCTGAGCTTCCAGTAGGTTTTGGTGAGTTTGCCTTGGGTTGCATCTTGACCTGTATTCATGGAAGGCTGTCTTCTTGCCTAGGCCAACCCCTTCAAGGAGCGAATCTGTAGGGTCTTCTCTACATCTCCAACCAGAGACACCCTGAGCTTTGAAGACTTCCTGGACCTCCTCAGTGTTTTTAGCGACACAGCAACTCCAGACATTAAGTCCCATTATGCCTTCCGCATCTTTGGTGAGGATTAGCAGCCTGCTGAATACCATCCCCACTCACATGGTCTTTGTCGGGGGTATGGCTTGGAAAATTGGGACCATTTGAAAACTCTTTGAGCTCTTCCTGCCCATACCCTTTTTGATTTCCGGTGTCTGCTCTCCAGACTTTGATGACGATGGAACCTTGAACAGAGAAGACCTGAGCCAGCTTGTGAATTGCCTCACTGGAGAGGGAGAGGACACACGGCTCAGTGCCTCAGAAATGAAGCAGCTTGTTGACAATGTGAGTGCTGGTTCGGGCTGGGGCTGGGAGGGTAGGGCTTGGGCCTGAAGCTCTCATTTTTCTAAACAGATCCTGGAAGAGTCCGACATCGATAGGGATGGGACCATCAATCTTTCTGAGTTCCAGCATGTCATCTCCCGCTCACCGGACTTCGCCAGGTATGATTACCTACTGGCCCTATCTGCTGCATCTGGGTCTGGGATGTTACTGGAGGTGGTATTTGGGGGAAGAAAAAGCTACGTGCTTCCTGCATTTCTCAGGGTACCTTTTCTTCCAGAAGGGACTGATAGGCATGAGACAGCTTATTCCAAATAAGGGTCTTAAGGGAGAGGTGGGTACGTGTGGATTAGGCCCCTAGCTGCCTTTTCTGGCAGGAACCCCAACCTACTCTTTTCTTGTTCAGTTCCTTTAAGATTGTCCTGTAACAGGAGATACAGCGTGTGGTCCCAGCACCCTGTCCAAGAACCTTCCCACTGCTGCACCATGGCCAAGGTTATACCTGTGTTCCCAGGGCCGGCCAAGTTGGCCCAGCTTGGAGCTGGCACTGCACAGTTTCGCCTCTGGGTAGGGGAGTGCCTGCCGTGTCATGGCCTCTCCCCTCCTCACTGCCATTGTCATTGCTTCTACTGATCAGTAATAAAGGTTTAGATGTTTTGATCTTGTGTGTTACTAGAAACACTGATCTGAGGGAGGACTGAACTGCTAAAAGCCTTCAGTCATACTCAGAGTAAGTGGGAATATGGGTGGCGCTGCAGGCTAATGTGCTAGACGGCAAGGTCAGTTTGAGCTGCCAGGATGGAGGTTCAAACTCACCAGCTACTCCTCAGAAACCCTATGTGGGGTCGCTATGGATCAGAACTGACTCGGTGGCACTTCACAATAACAAAGAAGGGGCCTGGGTGGCACAAATAGTTAAGCACTCAACTACTGACTGAAAGGTTGGCGGTTTTAGTTTATTCAGAGGTGTTTTGGAAACCCTATGGAGAGCAAGAAGGAAACCAGAGACTCACAGAAGAAACTAGCTGATCAGACTAATCACGTACATGACCCACAGTGGCCTCATCACTCAGCCCAACTACCACTACTCACCTGTTTGACCAATGGATGTTCCCAGATAGAACGGGAGCAAGATACAAAACAAAACTCAAATTCTTAAACAGAGCCAGACTTGCTGGAGCAGTTGAGACTAGAGGAACCCCTGAGACTATCACCTTGGGATTCCCCTTAAACTCTGAACTGAAACCATGTCCAGAGTTCACCTTTCAGCTAAATACAGATTGGCTCATGAATTAATACCATCAGAGAGTACTGTGCCCCATTAATGAGAAATTAAGTCTAGTCTACTTGAGACCAAACAGTCACTAGTTACCTTAAAGCAAGCATGAGAGAAGGTTAAGTGGGCGGGGGACAGAGAAACTAGATTAATGGAAAAGGAGCACCCAGAACAGAAATGAGGATGACAATGTTGTGAAAAATCTAACCAATATCACTGAACACTGTAATTCACTCTGGACACTTTTACTAAAACCACAGTTTTTTAAACCCTATGGAGCAGTTCTGCTCTGACACATGGATTCACCAGGAGTCAGAATCTATGCAACAGCAACTGGGTTTTTTGTAAAGGGGGCAGCAGGAGGGCAACCTCCCCCTTCCCCGCACGGAAGCGTGACTATAAAGGTATTGCATGGAGGGTAGATCTCTCTTGAATCTTCATGAAGGTGGCAACGTGAATTCATTTCTACGTGGGTTAAAGTTGACAGAACTGTACTCCACAAGGAAGAAGTCCATTTAAAATAAACTTGTAAAAATAATAAAAAATTTTAAGTGTGCCAAAAGAAAAACTATCCCCTGTGCCTCCTACCCCTGCTGAGCTCAACCAGGGAGGTAAAGATAGATTCAAAGGACTGAAGCAAACCAAATTGGCCCTAATCTTGTCACAGCCACCTGGTGCCATCGCAGCAGGTGTTAAACTCCCTACCTTAAAGAATCCAGCTGTACTGGGAGGTATCGTTAGCCCAGCTCACAAGTCTCCAGAAAGAGAGTGGAAGCGCTCAAAACTCAAGAGAACCATATACCAACCTCAAAAGCAGTTAATTGCATTAATGAAAGATTCAGCTACACATTATCATTGGTGTAAGTTGTACACTTGTAAACCGTTGACTTGGCCAGTCATGTGATAAACAATGATGGAATAGCTACTAAAACTCCTACGTACAACCAAATACCTCATGGGATTTGGCTTCTTGGTTTGGAGGTTTTGGGTCATGGTTTCATGGGACATCCCAGTTAACGGGTCTAATAATGTGCTTAGTATTTTTGCTCTACCTCCTAATTCATTACATAGTGCCTAGGATCTTAAAAGCTTGCAAGTGGCACACAGTTGGTCTTCATTCATTCATTTCCTGGCCCAGAGGTAAGAGAGTCAGGAATAGGAGGGTGTGGAAGGTGTGGTCAGCTGCCTCCATGAAGGACTGGCTCCTTTGCAGCGAGACCACAAGAACGAAATGGTACCCAGCTACCATTCCTGATCATTTTGATCAAAGATTTCATATAAGCATCCTGATGAAAAGGAAAATGCAGAACAGCATTTTAAATTCATGGATTCTAGACTTTCTGGAGTCACGGAGGGTAAGGTGAGGCCCTCAAGTTACTGTCCTGGGATAATCTCTAAAACCTTAAACCAAAGATTTCCCTGAAATCCTAAAACCAATCAAGAGTTTGGCTTAATTAACCAGTGGGTTCAGTGAGTGAGCATGCTCTTTTAAGATCTTTAAGTGGGATGAAATTGACAACAGCAATTTGAAAGATTAGATAGGAACCTTAGGAGGCAGTGAGTTTATATTAATGAGGAACTGAGAAAAGGAAGGTGAAAATCAGTGCACAACTCAAGAATGTAATCAACTTCAGTAAATTGTACATGTAGAAATTGTTACATTGGTTGGTGTGTGTTTTACTATATTGATTCCCAGCAACAAAATTTAAAGATAAAAAGCAGTAATTCTTTAAGAAGGGCTGCAATTTCCCTTCAGATTTTATTAAAAAAAAAAAAGTTAAAGTGCATCTTATTAAAAAATATATAAAACCCACGTAAATTCAGGGCCTCTCTACTGTCACCGTACCTTAAGAGTTTGGCAGCTGTGCCCAAGTGAGCGAGGTGAACTGGGGGCTGGAGAGAAAGGGCACAGGTACATGTGGGGAAAGGGAACTCGCATGGGTCCCTCAGGCTGGGATGGAGGAAGGCAGACAACAGTCTTTGCTTGAACTCCAGCAGAAAGGAACCCGTGTTCTCATCAGTCTGCTTCTGGACTTGCTCATGTGACCACAGCTTGACGGGGCTGGAAAGACCCAGGTGGGTCTGAGCTGCCAAGGCTGTAGTGTCAGCCCAACGCTCTGGTCCCTGAGGTGGTAGGATGACGGTGGTGGTGGCTGTGTGCTGTGAAGGCAGTTCCAATTTCTAGTGACCCTGTACAGGGTTTCCGACACTGTAAATCTTTACGGTAGCAGAAAACCTCATTCGTTCTCCTGTGGAACAGCTGGTAGCTTCACACCGTTAACCTTGAGGTTCGCAGCCCAATTCGTAACCACTATGCCACCAGAGCTCCTTAGGATGACGGTACCAACCACTATATCCTCAGTTGACTGGCAAAGATAGGACCTCGGGAATGTCTGAGAGGCCTGAGCCGGCCCCTGCCTCTAGGTAAGAAGGGGCAGTCTGGCTGTAGGATAAGGCAGAAGTTGAAGAGGCAGGTTGGTGAGGAGTTTTCCACTCTTGTCCCAACAACGTCCTTGGAAGGTGTGGGAGGCTGGAAAGTCTGTGAGCTGGAGTGGTTGCCGGAGTGGCACTCATTGCCGTCTCTCATCCCTCTCACTCGGTTCACAGTTTCAAATTAAAAAAATAACAAAGGGCTCAGTTTGCCAAAGGAGCATTGTTCTGCCCACCGGGGCAATCCCCATTTTTGACCAGGGCCTCCAGGGCCTTGGCTGTCTGGGCTGTTAGGGCCCCTGCTAGTAGCTGAAGAGCAGTAAAGCCAACTGGCTCCGTCATGTCTCCTAAGGTCTAGGCACCTTGGCTGTGTCTGACCAAGGTCACAGGTCATCTGGTCTCCTCTGAGCACTCTTGGCCCCTGAAACTGGTGGCTCCTCTGAAGTCTGCTCTCACACCACAGAGTCTCGGATTTCAGAGCCCAGACGCACCCGGGGCCGGGGACACATGGGTGACACCTCCACAAAGCTGTCCTGGATGCTGAGGGGCCTCTTCTCTGACTCGGTGAAGACCCGGGGTCCTGGGGAGACATCCGACAGGGCCTGGTAGCCTCGGTGATCAAGTGGGGTGCTAGGAGGACCTACACCATTGAGTGGCCGGGTCTCAGGTGTCTGTACTAACGGGCGGTTGTTGGGGTGCACGCTGGCACACTCGCCCTGCTTTAGGAAGACTTTCATGCCATCCCGGTGCCGATAGAGGAAGAACAAGGAGATAAGTACCACAGAGATCCCAAACATTACACACATCACAAGGAACTCATTCCAGTAGGACTTGTCAGCACCCCAGCTGGCCTTGCCACCACTGGCTGGTGCACTCACACGCGATGTGTTGATAATGACAGGCACACTGTCACCCTGGTCAGCTTGATCTGCCATCCCGTCCTCTACCACCTCTGGGCAGTAGCTGACCATCAGCTGCTGGAAGCCATCCTCCAGCGACAAGCACTGGAACAGGCCCAGCTGGCTGCCCACCAGCAGCAAGTCCCCAGTGGGCAGCACACGGCAGGAGGCTGAGGCATTGACAGGGACGCCGTTGTGCAGCCAGAGCCGGGTGGCCAGGTTGGAGAGGAGGGGGCAGGACAAGGTGTTCACTGTGTTGGCCCGAAACTGGACTTGCTCACAAGATGTTTTGACTGTGGGCAGAAAAGGTATGAGGTAAAGGTGGGGTGCTATCCAAGTAGCCACCAGTCCACCCGCCTCCCTCTGGGCTGTGTTCCTGGTGCCAAGAACAGGCACCCGTGAGGGTTCCGGGCATTCATGTCTCACTTCTCTGGGCCTTACTTGGACGCCAGAGGGATGAGGAAGTGAGAAATGGTATTTGCATCCATCAGTGTAATAAATCAGCCCTGGCTCCTCTACTACACTCCCTGCAGGGGCACCTTACCTGTTGGAACAATCATCCGAGATCTGGACCAAGAAGTGTTGCACAGGCCCTTGGCGTTGGCCCCCTTGATATCCTGGATCCATGACCTGAGGACCACAGGGCATGTGAGACAGGCCAGGAACCCCCCATGAACCCTTATTCCATCAGTACAAGCACACGCACCCATGTAGCTCTGCAAGGTGCCTGGGATTCGGGGATGACGCACAACCCCAGAGCAGGGGGTTAAAGGTAGGAGACTTCCCCGGGCTAGTCACTCTACCTACTGTAGGAGTTAAACCATTATACCCTTTGCCTACAAATGATTCCTTTCAAATAAAAAGTTATTACACTATTTTTCTTCATTACAAGCGTGGTATGTGCGTGCCTTCAGACAAAGTCTGGACGACACCTGTGTCTTTTTTAAGCAACACACAGGCACTGATTTGTTTAAGAAAAAATAAAGAAGGAACTACTGCTGCATGGAGAAAACTTAGAAAACTCCGCAAGCACAAAAGATATGAAAACTACAAAAATCACACACAATCTTGCTCCCAGAGATCTTAGCAGCCAACATCTTGGGTCTGTCCTTTCGTGCACATGGTTTTGCACAAAACCTATACCGGATACATCCTTATGTGAAGCAAGAATACTACAAATAGGACAGAGAGCAGTGAACTGTGTCCCCAAAACGATGTCTTGAAGCCCTAATCCCCAATATCTAAGGAACATGGCTGTGTTAGTTACCGAGGCTGTAAATCTTTATGGGAGCAGAAAAAGCCTCATCTTTCTCCCACAGAACAGCTGGTAGATTCAAACTGCTGACCTTGAGGTTAGCAGCCCTATACCAGCTGTTCCGTGGGAGAAAGATGAGGCTTTCTGCTCCCATACAGATTTATAGCCTCGGAAACCCTGTGCAGGGTGGCTATGAGTCGGAGCTGACTGCACAGCACACTACCACCACCACATATACGCAGAGGAGTTTCAAAAACTTTGTGGAAAAATTCCATTATGTTTTCATTCCATTTTCCTATGACCTTCTTGAGGCCCCCTTGTATTTCGTGTATCTTACTCAGCTGGGTAACAAAATCTCACTGTGATTCTTTCTAGGTGACAGTGTTCAGGGCTGTTTTTATTTAGTTTATGCTTATCTCTGTTTTTTAATACGAACACTTTTCTACATGAACATTTTATAATCCAAATCAGTTATTTTGAAAGCAATTTCTAACAAGCTTACTCATGGGCTGTGTGTATCCCTTATTTTTGGTTAAACATGTGCAGAGGTCAGTCCTATCTCCTGCAAGGCACAGCATGGCTGGGACATTTCAAACATGACCTCATCATGTCCCTACTTTACAGATGGGTAGGGAAAACATGTAATTTACTGCCTGAACTACCATGCTTCTAAGAAGAAGAAGGGAGCTAACTTAAAACTACACTGAGACAATGGACGTAAATAAGGCCGTGTGGTGATCCTACAGCCAAACCCAACCCAACCCAAGGCCATCAAATCGACTTCATCTCATAGCCAGCCTACAAGGGGTCTCCTAAACTGTCAACCTTTAAAGAAGTAGATGCCTCATTTTTCTCCCAAGGAGTAATTGGTGTGTTTGAACTGCTGACCTTACAGTTAGCAGGCCAAAGCTCCCCATACCAGCAGAGCTGCTCAATCGTATAGTCGTCCAGGGGAATGTGCCTAGGCCAGTGTGCAGGGCTGAACAGTGGGAAAGGGGCTTCTGGGAACTCTCACCTGGGGTCTAGCTCAGGCTGTTGGAGGCTGATGCGCTTGCAGCTGGAACCACTCCAAGCACAGTAAGGGTCCCGGGCAAGGATGCAGTCCCCACAACTCTGGTACAGGCTGCAGTTGGCCACAGGCACCTGAACTACACCCGAGTGTGAGGCGGCGTACAGCAGCCCCTGCACAGGAGAGAGAGCGGGTGGAGAGGCAGGCCTGGTGAGAGTCTGAACCCTAGCCACAGCCACCCTGGCGTCAGGCCCACCAGAGCCGCTGGCCACAGGGTCTCTGCTTATGCTCCTGAGTACCCTTGCTTTGTGAGAGTCTTGGCACCCAGGTCTTCCTGTCCTGGTGAGGGAAATGTTGGCTGAGGATACCCCGGCCTCCTTTAGCAGCTCACCCTGTTGGTGTCCAGCAGCAAGTTCTGCACGGGCTGTCCTGAGGGGAAGACCTGGAGCTCCTCAATGATGTGCACCCTGGACCCCATGCTCACGGCCTTGTGCAGACGGCCATCACCTGCAGCACACAGAAGACTCAGGGCCTGGCTGTAGCCACAGCCCGGGACCCACTCGCCGTGCCCACTGTCCTGAACCTGGCCCACAGCAGGCACTCACTAGTGCCCAGGAAGAGGACATCGTAGGCGGCATCGTGCAGGCCTTGGACGCGGTGTACAGCCACACGCTGGTAGACGGCCCGGGGTTGCAGCAGGAGCATACGGCTGCGGACCTGCCCGTCCATCAGGAAGTGGTCCTTGAGGAAATTCAGCACCCGGTCGGGGAGCTGCAGGGACGAGTTGATCTTCCTTTCCCGGGCACTGTTGGTGATGCACTAAAGGAAAAAGTGGAGGCATGAGCTGAGCAGTGCTTGGGCGGGGCCAGCAGGATGGGGTGCTTGCTATAGATCCTGTGGGGACAGCTGGCTTGGCTGCCCCAGCTCACAGCACAACCTTTGCCTGATCCTTGGAAGCTATGGCACATTAATTCCAGTTTTCCAGAGAGCCAACTCACTGACCTGGAGGCCCAAGACCTAAGTCCAGGGTGTAGAGAAACCTACAGGGGTGGCAGGGGTCTTGATTGTGCCTCTAGCCTGCCCAGGTCCCTCACTTTCACACACACACACACACACACACAGGTCTCAAGACCTGTAAGCACACTTTTAGTTCCGTTAACATCTTTCCACTAGAGCTCCCAGGAAGCCCTGGCTGGCCAGTTTCCTTATGTAGCAGACACACGCTCCCACCCACATCCCTGTGACACTGTGTGTCATTAGTGCCTGGGCCTTCTGGATTCCCTCGGCCGGAGTGATCCTCAACCAATGAGGCACAAGAGTCGGTGAAAATATCTTAGAGGGGCTCTGGCTACATGTGTCATCATCTCTCAGGAGGGGGCCCCACAGGACTCAAGTCTAGCTGCTCACAGTAGCAACCACTGACGAACACAGCCTTCCTTGGCTTGTCTTCGTCCCTCTCATGCTCCTGTGCCCTTTCACTGCTTCCTGAATCGTTCCCCAGGTAAGTGCTGACACTCAGACCCTTGTCGTAAGGTCTGCTCTGGGGGTACCCACTAGGCTGCAAGGAAAGAACGAACTTTTCCCCCACCACCTGGTCACTGAATCATTCAATAGTGAGACACCTGATCTACAAGGAGTTCCATGGGGGAGAGGGATGAGTGAACAGAAGTCAACAGTGTCCAGTAGCTATCCCTGTGGGGACACATCTGTCCAGCCTGAGATCGGCCTGCAGACACTGTAATAACGTCCATGATCCCATCCAACCCCAGAGGACAAGAAGATCTGGGCTAATGTTTCCATTTTAAAGATAAACAGATACAGAGAAGCCAGTGATTTGTCTGAGGCTAGGCAGCCCTCAGCACAGTGCAAGGACCCAACACTCCCTGGGTGTGGGAGTTGAGTACCTACCGCTCCAGGCCGTGGCGAGGGTACTGGGTGTGTCACGGTGTACCACTGCTGTGTCTCCCGGTTGACCTCCTTGTAGAGACCACTGAAGGCTCTCTGCACGTCCTCCATGGTGAAGACACAGATGGCAGAGCCCTCTGTGGTCCCCCTGTGCCTGCAGAGGAAACGATGGGGTTAATCTGGGAGTCTTGGGCAGGCCCAATGATAGCTCGTGGGCCCCCAGGCCCAGTTGCCCTCTGCCCCACCTCCCCGCCCCAGCTGGATCCTGGGGCCTACCACTGGGACGTGAAGACGCCGTAGAAGAGGGTTTTGCGCCAGTCCTGAGGGCTGGGGGTCAGTGTGAAGACATCCTGCAGCACGTTGAACGGGAAGCCATCATCAGGTCGAGAACACAGAAGTTGGGCCTTCAGGAACGATGTCCAGCGCTGCTGCAGGACCCGCTCGCCACCCTTGTCGCCCTGGGAGAACAAGAGAAAGGCTGAGCCCAAAGGCGATGGAAGGACAGGAGGCATGGGGGTCCCCTTCCCAGTGGGAGCTTAGACAAGACACCAAGAATGAAGGCAAACCAAAGCCAGGACTGAGTCCCATTTAAAATCAAGAGACTTTGGAGGCAACAAGAAGCTGGTTAAGTGAACGAGAGTCTATTCCCCTACTGTGAAACACGAGGGTAAAGGGGGGGGAGGTACCTATTATACGGAAAGACGTCCTTGACTGTGCAAAAAAGAAAAAAGGAAGCTAATGAAGCCTGAACAATATAACTCATGTCTGTGAATAACTGAATATAAATAAATACATGCATACATATATGCACACACGAAAAATATTCCTAAGGCATACTATAAATCGCTAACAATGGTCACCGTGTGGTGGTAGGGCAACAGAATTACGCCACTAACTGTCAACATTTAGATAATTGCCTATTACGTTCCTAAGAGCTTTATGTAGATTACTTCATTAATCCAGGTGCCGACTCTGAGCTAAGCGCAGTGTTGTTAGGCTGAACGACTTGCCCAAGATCACACGACCAGCAGGGTTTGAAGCCACGTAGTCTGACTCCAGGATCTGTGCTCTTGATCACGATGCTAACCAGATTACCAGATGCCTTTGAGCAGATGCGAACTCATGGCGCCCCCACGTGTCAGAGTAGAACTGTGCTAACCGCCAACCAGTTCTCAGGGGCTGAGTGTTCAGCAGGTCACCAGGCCTTCCTTCTGAGGTCTCTCTGGGTGGACTTGAACCTCTAACCTTTCAGTCAGCAGCCGAGTGTACTAACCCTCTGCACTACCCAGCATCTCCTATCATTCCACTTTCTCTTTCAAAAATGATTTTTGTACACGCTTTTTGGTATTGTCACATTTGGGAAAGAAGAAAACACTATAATCATATGAGATGTTTTAAATTAAAAGGAGAGAGAAAAGCAGCTGCCAGCCAGCTGCTCCTCCCAGGAGGACAGGGAAAGGTCATAGATCTGAGCCTCCTGGGGTCTGTGGGGTGTCAGGCAGCCCCACGGATGGCCCACACCCCTCACCTTGCAGACGCGGGCAATGCGGGACACGATGGTGTTCTCAAAGAATTCAAGCTCCTGGCCTGTCTCGCTGAAGAAGAAGTAGATCTTGTCATCGTCCCCCTGCAGGCTGCCCAGGCTCTCGGGAATGAAGGCTGAGGCCACAAAGGCTGGGTCTGTGGGGCCATGGCGAGTGTCGAGTCAGCTCAGGGGCCAGCCAGGGGGCCAGTGCCCTTCCACTGGGACGTCGGTGCCAGCCCAAGTCCACAGGTCAGGCACTGCGCATTGGATAGCAGTGGGCAGACTTTACCTTGTAGCCAGTTGAGGGAGCTCTCGGTCTTGGTGGGGCGGAAGCTCTGGCTCCGGGAGATGGCTGGGTCATTCCCCTGGAAGCTGCTGACTGTTCCAGTATAGAGCTCACAATCTGCCAAGAGAACATTCCCATGGGAATGGCCGCCTTGGCACAGTCCCGACTCCCTTGCTCAGGGCCTTGAGTGACCCCAGAGCTGCCCATCTTACTCGGGTTGGGTAGGGAGGGAGCAGGAACTGGGAAAAGCCAAATCCAGGATCCTGGCAGCCCTGTGTCCGTCTGTCCAGTCAAGCCACTCCTGGGAATTGGTGTGGCATTCCATCGGCTCAGCCTTCTTGCCCTGCCCACCCACCTGCCCTCACCTGGAGCCTCAATGAGTATACCCTGCCCCCAACACTCACCAACCACTAGGGCTGTAGACTTGAAATTTGGGTCAAAGGGGCAACGACCCTTGCCATCTTCCAAGAGGACATTTCCTGCCTCATCGTGCGCCAATGTAAAGTTCTCCACGTTCTGCAGGGGAGCGGACAGGGAGCAAGTTCAGGGGCCTGTCAGGGAGTTGGGGGGAGACTCACACAGGACAGTGGTGAACTAGGCCAGAGAAGGCAGTCCTATGGGCAGGTCAGGGGCATGGGAAGGACTAAAGCCTGGGCCATGGCTTGGCTCAGGGTGGGGTACCACCCCACGGGAACCCTATGAGGTGGTCACAGTGAGCCCCATACACAGGAGGCTTAGAGAGGTGATGTGAACCGGGAGGGGCAAAGACCTGATTCAAACCCAGTATGTCTGAATCCAAAGCTGCTGATCTAATCCACATCCTCGAATACCAGCCTCTGTGGGCGCGTGCACAGGACAGAAGTAGTGTGTGTGTGTGTGTGTGTGTGTGTGTGTGTGAGGAGTGGGGTACACGGTGAGAACAGGGGAGAGAAGCTGGAGGAAGCGAGGGGCAGTGACTAATGGATCTGACAGAATCGTGGTGCCTCTTTGTGCTTGTGACTGACACCGGGGAGAGCTGGAATACAGCTCCCTCAGTCTGCAGAAGAGCCATTCACAGTCTAGCCCGGGGGGGAGCCTCAGGCCTGAGGAGTGGTACTCACGATGTAGGTGCACATGGGGCTGAAGGCTGCTGTGCCACAGGTAAACAGGTGGCTGCTGTTGAGTGGCAGGAGGATCTTGATGTAGTTTTGACAATCACGCTAGAGGGAACAAAAGAGGCTATCAGGGTCCAGACCTAAACATGCCACCAGGGGGCACTACCGAGCCCTCCCCGCTAAATCCAAAGCCTGTCCAGCAGCTGAGGGAATGCCTCACTGCTCCAGTCCCTGGGGAGCAGGGGAAGGGAGAAACATCAACTTCCGGAACCAATGAGGATCCAGGAGCTTCAGTAAGCAGGGTAGACAAGAGGACCACAGGGTTCACCCTTTTGGGTTGTCTTGGTCCCTCAGGGTCCTCTTTAGAAGCCCAGTGAAAACCACTGGCAACAAAGTCTCAGCCCACAGGAAACACTAAGCCTTGACCCCTGACTCATGTGTCATCTCCAACCAAGCACTGACTGACTGTTCTTCGAGAGCACATTCTACTTTCATTAAGTACAACTAACACTGTCTATTCTACTGCTGAGTTCCCCATTAGTCTTGTCTCTTTTCTTTGCTCCTACGTGGATACCAGCAGAGTGTTGGGGGCTTCATCTTTAATCTATATCTGTCCTTCACTGGACTCTCTGCCTTGGCTCCATGGAGTCTACTCTACGTCCCGGTGACTAGTGGTCCCTTCAGGGTCACACCCCTACTGGTTCCCACTTACCTTCTCCTGCTCCTTCTTCAGGTGCCCTATGGCCAACTCCCTCCACGACCTCCTAATTTTTACTCAAATGCCATTTGCGTTTTAATGACGTGTAACCCAACCACCCTTCATATGGACTGATTTTTGTCCATTTTCTTCCTTCCTTCAGTTATATATCTCCAGCACCTAAGAGTGCTGAGCACACAGTACATAAGTGCTTAATAAATACTGCTGAATAAAGGAATACTGACTAAAGTCTGGCGGGTTAGAGCACAAATCTTGACCCTCAAGTCTAGTGTGCTTTTAGCCGACACCCAGGAGAATGATGGGGAATCTTCCAGGGGAATCCTGGCTAACTCAGACTCCATCAGACCTGCGACACTAGGTACCACCCGCAGAAGGGTACAACGCCAGCCACTGTCCATGCAGGGAACTGATGCTTTTATGTGCCAAGTGCTCACTGACTTCTCAGAGACAGGTATTCTTATCCCCATCTAACACTGAGGCTAAGAAGTAAACCAAGGTCACAAAGATAATAAGCATAAAGCTGGAACTCAAACTGGGCCTGGCCATCTTGGAAGCCTATGCTCTTTTCACCATACCTGGCTGCATCTGTTCCCACACCTCCGGGCCCAGGCCCAGTGTTCCATCCCTCCCTTGGCCAGAATTGCTGCCAGGTGCTGCCTTACCTGTGGGTCCTTGCCCTTGAAGCTGCACTGCTGCTTTCTTTCTGTATCTGCGTGCCACCGCAGCTGGGAAATAAAAAAGGGAAGATGAGTGTGTGAGGGGGGCTAGAGGGTTTGCTGAGATGCTCTCTTCTCCTGTCAGCATCATCCTTGAACTCAAGTTAAGTTTCCTGCCCCTCTTCCACTGCAGTCCTCTGCCCAGCCTAACCAGCCCTGGGTAGCATCATGTACCTCCTGGTATTCCCCGCCTGGCAGGAAACTGCAGCTACAGTTGAGTGCAAAGAGGGCCTCTCGAGCACCCACGTATAGAGTGTCGCCATCCTTGCTCAGCAGAAGGGCCGTGTAATTGGCAATACTGTCAGCTTCAAATCTGAGAAGTGAGCGCTTTTCAGAGCCTGGGAAGAGGAAGACAGACAGACATTATTTGGGAGTCATGCCTCCCACGAGAAGCCTCTTTGACCAACTTCTAGAATGGGCCAACTGACTGAAGGAGGTGGATGGCAAGGGACTGCGGGCAGGGAAACAGGTTTGAAAAGGAAGCAACATTCTTGGTCGATCATTATAGAAGAAACAAATGCACAAAGATACAAGGGAAAGTTAAAAAGTATTGCTACTGGGGTTTCAGTTCACACATGCACAAGTTTATTCCAAACAAAAAGAAAGTCCCATCAAAACAGAGGCTTCCAAGGGGATCTGCTGGGTCAGCTCCATTCAAGACAGAGAGGCCAGAGCTCAGAGGTTACGGTGACTGTTTTGAAGTATTCCAAAGGGGAAATATATCTTGATAGACTATCTCAAAGGACACAGGTGATCACAGGAGCTTATTAGGAGGAAATTAAAAAAAAAATTGATATCTGAACTGGTGAGTAAAGGGCCAGGAAAGTTGCTTCAAGGAATTTTTTTCCCCCAATCAGGACAATGCACCTGCTCATGCTTCGAGGATAGCAAGAGCTGTCCCAAGAGAATTACACTGGGAACTCTTAACCCCGCCCTGATGTTCCTAGAACTCAAAGAACATGGAACAGGAACGCAATGTGAGTCTGCTGAGGATGCCCACACTGTCATTTCGGTGTAGTGGCAACTGAAGAGAGCAGAATTCTTTGGGAAAAGGTTTGAGAGATGGAAACACTGTCTTTGGAAGCGTATCAATCTAGATGGAGGGGATGTCTGGAAGTAACAGTTTCACATTTTGGTATTTTCGTTCAATAAATACTTCTATGATTTTTGTAGCAATACTTTTTGATTTACCCTAGTATATAAGGGGGCTTCAAAAAGTTTGTGGAAAATGGAAGGAAAAGACAATGGCATTTTTCCACACACTTTCTGAAGCTCCTGCATATGTGAAAGAACATTGATTACAGCCCCACTCACATTAATGAACAATTGGGAACCCCCATGCCCATGTCCAACCACAGATAGGGCTGAGTGAAAATGAATGAGGATATTCCATTCAATGGCATATTAAGCAGCTGGTAAAAACGATGCTGAAGGCATGGCCAAATTATGAAGCAAACCAAAATATAATGGGATAGTTTTGAGCCACGTGATAGGATATAAGGAACGAAAAAATACCTCCTGGGAGTGGCATTAGCAAGCACCAAGGAGAAGGGAAGCTCAGCCCACTCCTTGGTTCTGCCATGGAGACAATTTACATGGATGAGTAGATTAATACAAGGACTGGACACTGGTCTGCCACCCCACAGTCACTCATGGAAGACTTAGGGTTATTAAACACCCTGCAAATGTTACCAACCCTGACACTGGACACCTTAAAGTACAACAGAGAGACACCATAATGTTGAGGCAGCGTGAAGGAAAAGAGATTCTTCAATACCCTCATCTAAGAGTAAAGAGGGCCACACGGCACTGTCAGTGCTTAATGGAACAAGAAAGAGAAGTTTATTTACATCAACATTTTAAACTCATAAATGAAGTAAACAGAATGGCAGTTTATGTCGGGAGGGGTACACAAGGAGAGCTTTATTTTTCTCAGCAGCAAGGCGATAAGGAATGTCTAAAGTTGAGCTCTGGTAGCATAGTGGTTACGAATCAGGCTGCGAACCTTAAGGTCAGCGGTTCGAAACTACCAGCTGCTCCGCAGGAGAAAGATGAGGCTTTCTACTCCCGTAAGGATTTACACCCTCGGAAACCCTGTACAGGGTCGCTATGGGTCGGAACTGACTCGATGGCACTTAACAACAACAACAACAAAGTTGAGCTCTGGTAGCGTAGTGGTTACGAATCGGGCTGCGAACCGCAAGGTCAGCAGTTTGAAACTACCAGCGGTTCCGTGAGAGAAAGATGAGGCTTTCTGCTCCCGTAAAGATTTATAACCTCGGAAACCCTGTGCAGGGTCTCTATGAGTCAGAATTGACTCCATAGCATATAACAAACAACAATTACGTTGATTAACATGGACTTCTGGTGTGGCGCTGTAGGATCAGCGCTGGACTGCGAACCACATGGTCGGTGGTTCAAGCCCTCTTCACAAACCGTGTACAGGGTCACTATGAGTCAGAACAGACTCCATGGCACTTAACAACAACAATGAAGCTGCTAACTGGAGCCCTGAAGTACAAGAGTTAAGGGGTCCAACTGCAGATACTTAGGAAAAAAGGTGTGGGGGCTGCTCCTAGGAAACCCTCTGGGGTTGGCATTCACTCAAGGACACACAACAAGAGCTGATCAGTTAAGAAAGAGTGGCTTGATAAATCAATAAATAAAATGAGCATTTTATTTAAATATATGGAGGAAACCACTGTAAAACAAGAACTCCAAATGTTTACAAGTTGCCTCTTTTAGCCAAGCACAGGGTGGGGTGAGGTGGGGTGAGGTGGGATGAGATGAGGTGGGGTGGGGTGGGGTGATAGGGTAGGGAAACTGAAGTGGCTGTTGCTTTTCATAATAAGCCCTTCTATACTTTAAAAAACAAACAAAACCCACCAGCTATGTGCCTACATCCTTGATATAAATTTTACAGCACTTTTCACTGTTGTAGAATACGTAATGGAGTTCTGGAATGGCACTGTAGGATAAGCACTGGACTGCTGTTGGCTGTTCAAACTCACCAGCTGCTCCTCGGAAACCCTACACAGTGTGGCTATGGGTGGGAACGTAACAACAAGAGCACATTTAACAAAGAGATTCCGCATCTTCCAGTAAGTTATAAAATAGTATGTTTAGTCAGATTCTGGGTTTTTTGTGTAGAGAAAATACAAACACAGAAATATCCAGAAGGCTTTATCACAAAAAGTTTAAAAGGCGTTTTTTCCTGGTGGGTGTTGAGGTAATTCGCTCACCCTCTGGAGTTTATCTACAGTTGTTGTTGTTAAGTGCCATGAGTTAGTTTCAACTCATAGCGACTCTGTGTAGGATTTCCGAGGAACAGCTGGTGAGTTTGAACTGCTGACCTTGAGGTTCAAAGTGACCTTAAGATTGAGTGCTTATCCTAGGGCACCACACCAGGATTCCTTAGGTTACATGTGTAGAGCGAGAAAGAAAGAAGTCAAATAAACAAACATTCCCACCTATCCAAAAAAGTTTAAAGCAGTTTATGAGAAAAAGACAAATCAACAAAAAGTAGCCACCCAGACGGTCTTCAGACATTTCCTAACTGACCAGTGGATACAACTACACAGGCAAGTAGTCTAATGAAGCTGAGTCAGCAAAAGAAATGCAACATGCCAATAAAGCAGTGGTGAAGACAACGCCACGTATGTTTGCATGTCGAGTGTTTTACATACCCCCAGCCTGGTTCCACAAAGGAGGAGGAAACACATAGGGAAAAAAATGAGTCAATATAAACACTCAAATCAGAAGCAGAGTAAACAACCTGAAGAAAACATCTAAACCAGAAGGAAGGACACACTATAAAGTTTCTCCCTCATACAGATTTAGCTCCGAGCCTCCCAGTGGACAAAAGAGAGAAGGGAAATGAAGTTACCTTGTCCCCATTGTCCAAGTGGAGGGACACATACCAGACTCTCTGGGGAAGCTAAGTTTTATCCTGGCTGCTAATGTGAAAGGAAATCTTCAGGTGGGGCTCCCTAGCAAAGCTGTCAGGGAGAGATGGAATGGCTAGCACCCCTTCAGCAAACAGGATGCTGGGGTTATCACGGCTGTTCCTTAGCAGGTTTCCAGGAAAGGGAAGCCGTGCAGGAGTTTATGCGGGATGTCTGTGGCTCCAGAGCTGGATGTCTTACCCTGAAGATCCATGGAGGATGCATCCTACCTAAGATTGAGTCTTAATGTGATCGGAGAGGTTAAAAGCTCTCTCTCAGCTCTGAAATCCAGAGCCACACTAAACCGTAGGTTTTCTCCCTCAGATTCCCCACCCCTTACCACTTCCTACTGCACTGGCAGGTCCAAGGAGAAGTCCCAACATTAATTCCAACACTGGAGTCCTGGTGTGATACTGTGGGATAAAGCAGTGGACGACAAGGTTTGTTTGAACCACAAAGTCGGTGGGGTTCAGTCTCACCAGCCGCTCCTTGGGAACCCTATACAGGAATCGACTGGACGGCACTGAACAACAACACTAATTCGCCTGGACCAGAAGCATTTCCAACACACTGGGGCCCAATTCTTGCTCCTGTGAGGGACTACCCTGCTAGTGAGCTTCCTTATCCCTCAGCCCGTGGTTACCACAGGTCTACTCCAGAGCACGGGGGCAGTTGTGTCAGACGCTGTGTGTAACATTTTACAGAGAACTATTCTGTAGTCCCACAACAGTCCCATTTTACAGAAGGGGAAATTGAGGCGCAGAGAGATCATGCAATTAACACAAAGCCCCAGAGCACAAAAAAACCACGTGGGAGGCCACCTAGGCTGTCTCCGTTCTGAAGGCCACAAAGTCCCCAGAAGATGTTAAGATGCCTGAGAGCTTCTGACTCTGCAGGTCTGGGATGAGCTCCCCTGGTAACTCGGAAGTTCAAGCCCCACGTTTTGAAAAGCGCTGGGTCACAGGCCCTTCTGCAGGGCATTTCTTCATGAGCCACAGTTGCATCATATGTAAATTAAAAACAGGAAAAAAACACCACCTAAAAGTCCTGTGAGGAGTAAGTGAGATAAGCACATAGCAAGCCTCCTGATCTTTTGCATCCCTCCCACAAAGTTTTCAGAAAGTGAGGGCTGGCTCGAGTGTGCCAATGCTTATCGCTTGTGCCACAGCTTGGAACCTGCCAGAGCAGAAAAGCCAAAGGTCAGAGATAAGACTCAGTTCCAGGTGGTGGCTTAGCCCCACCTAGGCCTGGGAGCGGGAGTGGCAAACTGCCAAAGGAGAGCCAACCCAAGCTCTGGCTGCTCGCTCTGGTCCAGCCCAGCCCTCTACATGCACAAAATGCTCATGACACATGCTCTTGTCATGTTGGGAGCACTGTAACTGAAATGTCAAAGG